CTGCAGTGGCTCACACCTGTAATCCCAACACTGTGGGAGGCAGAAGCAGGTGGATCACCTGAGGTCAGGAGGTCAAGACTAGGCTGGCCAACAGGTGAAACTCCCATCTCTACTAAAAATGCAAAAATTAGCCAAGTGTGGTGGCAGGTGCCTGTAATCCCAGCTACCTAGGAGGCTGAGGCAAGAGAATCGCTTGAACCTGGGAGGCAGAGATTGCAAGAAGCCGAGATTGCGCCACTGCACTCCAGCCCGGGCAACAGAGCAAGACTCCGTCTCAACAACAAAACAAGAAAATGTCCAAAATGTTTAGAAATATTTTAAGCCCTGGCCAGGTGCAGTGGCTCACACCTGTAATCCCAGGACTTTCGGAGGCCGAGGTAGGCGGATCATGAGGTCAGGAGACGGAGACCATCCTGGTTAACACAGTGAAACCCCGTCTCTATTAAAAATACAAAATAATTAGCCGGGCATGGAGGCAGGCGCCTGTAGTCCCAGCTACTCGGGAGGCTGAGGCAGGAGAATGGCATGCACCTGGGAGGCGGAGCTTGCAGTGAGCCGCAATCACACCACTGCACTCCAGCCTGGGTGACAGAGCAAGATTCCGTCTCAAAAAAAAAAAAAAAAAAAAAAAAAATTTAAGCCCTAATTCTGCACCAGACACTGTATTACACTTAATCATCAAACAATTCTAAGATAATTGTATTACACTGTGAGATAATGTATTATCATATTGAAGTATATATTGTTAGATTAAGGCTCAGAGAAATAACTTGGCCGAGAGAGTAGAGAAGTGGCAGAGCTCGTGTTCCTCTTCCTGCATTTTGCTACCATCCTTTACAAAATGACCCCGCCTATGCTTTTGGCAGCCTCTCTTACCATAGTACTTTTGCACCACACTCCAGACACGCTGAACTGCTAGGTGCTCCCCAAACTAGCCCATCTGTGTTTTTTTGTGGGTTTTTTTTTTTTTTTTTTTTTGAGACAGAGTTTCGCTCTTGTTGCCCAGGCTGGAGTGCAATGGTGTGATCTCAGCTCACGGCAACCTCTGCCTCCCCGAGGCAGAGTGATTCTCCTGCCTCAGCCTCCCGAGCAGCTGGGATTATAGGCGTGTGCCACCACGCCCAGCTAATTTTGTATTTTTAGTAGAGACTGGGTTTCTCCATGTTGGTCAGGCTGTTCTCGAACTCCCGACCTCAGGTGATCCGCTCACCTTGGCCTCCCAAAGTGCCGGGATTACAGGCGTGAGCCACAGTGCCCGGCCTGTTTTTGGTCTTTTCTGTTTGTGAGACAGGGTTTTACTATGTTGCCCAGGCTGGACTTGAACTCGTGGGCACAAGCAATCCTCCTGCCTTGGCCTCCCAAGTAGCTGGGACTACAGGTGTGGGCCACTGCACCCAGTCACAAACTGGCTCATCTGAAAGCTTACATGTAATCCCTACAGCTCAGACTTCAGCTTCTCTTCCTTTAGAACTGAGAAATTATTCAAACATTACCTCCCACCCCAAGTCCAGCTGGTTTTTATTGCTTCCATGACCTTTTGTGCCTTTATCTCACTGTGCTGTAATTTTTTTTTTTTTTTTGAGACAGAATCTCACTCTGTTACCCAGGCTGGAGTGCAGTGGCACAACCTCGGCTCATTGCAACCTGCACCTCTCGAGTTCAAGTGATTTTCCTGCCTCAGCCTCCCAAGTAGCTAGGAGTTACAGGCACCCACCACCACTCCCAGCTAACTTTTTTGTGTAGAGACGGGGTTTCACTATGTTGGCCAGGCTGGTCTCGAACTGCTTACCCTCAAGTGATCCCAAAGTGCTAGCATTACAGGCGTGAGCCACCGTGCCGGCCTTTGTGCTTTTTTTTATGTGCCCGTCTCTTCCACAAAACTGCATGGTCCTTGAAGATGAGAACGGGATCTTCCTCATCTGGTATCCACAGCCTTAGCACAATGCTGCCACACCGAATGCACTTAACGATTGCTACATAACAACTCACATACTTTTTTTTTGAGACAGAGTTTTGCTCTTGTTGCCCAGGCTGGAGTGCAATGGAGCGATCTTGTCTCAACACAACCTCTGCCTCCCAGGTTCAAGCAATTCTCCTGCCTCGGCCTCCCAAGTAAGCTGGGATCACAGGCATGAGCCATAATGCTCGGCTAATTTTGTATTTTTAGTAGAGACTAGGTTTCTCCATGTTGGTCAGGCTGGTCTCAAACTCCTGATCTCAGGTGATCTGCCCACCTCAGCCTCCAAAGTGCTAGAATTACAGGCATGAGCCACTGTGCCTGGCCAACAACTCACATACTTTTAAATATTTCTTCTAAGGGAAAAAAAAAAAATCTCACTTTTTTTCATTCAAAAGAATTTAACCATATGATGAACATTGTCATCATTTCAGTAAGGCAAGTAAATGATTCAACTTCATCAACACTACAGAGGCTTGGGTTTTCTTTGCTCCACTAAACAGATGCTGAGGCTCTGCTAAGGCTGCTACATAATGTCTGACACTCCAAACAAGCATAACTTTGCCTAACTGCCACATATACCTACCTGGCTGAGCAGACCTGCTCAGCACCAACACCAGCACTCATCATAAGCACTGGGTGACAGTCTAGCCCACGCTCAGACTGGATCCCAAGGCATCTGCTTTGAGATCAGTGCCCCACCCAGCTGCAGCCTGCTATAAACCAAGCCAGTACCTTGCAATCTCCTGGTGGTAATCATAGTGTTCATCCTCCTCCAGCCACTCCACAGACCCCGTAGTCGGATTGGCCCGACTGCAGAAGATCTTCATGGTGCCCACCAGCTCCCCAGTTTTAGCACAGAAAAGCAGCCTTGCCAGTTGAGTTCTTGTGGACAAGTCTGACTGTCAGAAACCTATTAACATCAGAAGGAAACAGGAGGTGTATAAACAAACGAACAGAAAAAAATCTATTAACAGCATAATGCCCCAAAATGTGGAGGGGGGGAGGGGAGACAATCAAGAAACTGACAAAAATGTCAAAGCCACTGACAGTATTTGTTAATCAATATTGTAAATGTTTCCAGCAGGAGTTACTTGGTTTTATATCCAGCATATAACATTTTAAAAACTACAACAGATTTATACAGATGTCCAGAAACTTCAGCAGGCTTCAGTGCTTCCAAAAGGGTCAAATGAGCCTCACAGGTTCATCTAGGTGCAGCCCTCAAGGCTAGGAGGAGAAGAGATGGGGTGCTGGTAAAGAAGTACCACCAATACTGCCTTTGTATCCTGAACCCTTAGCTTAAGGAAAAATATGAAGATAGAGCAAGTCAAACCGGGAAAACTTTCACCTAAACAATAAACCACAGCAACACATAAACCTAAAAATGGATAACGCCAGGAATATAATGATGAGCAAAAACAGCAAATCACACAACACATGCAATACGACTCCATTGCTATGAAATTTATAGCTATGCAAAATGGAATGATACATTCTTCAGGAATCACACTAAAAAGCATAGCAGGGAATCAGGACAGTTCACTTCTAAAAGAGAAGGGAGAGATGGGATCAAGGAGGGGTACACAGCAGACTTCAAAAGTATTGTTCTTTTTCTTAAATTGGGTGGTGGGAACATAAATGTTCATGATATTACCATTCTTCTTATTTTTAAGATGGGGTCTCGTTATGTTGCCCAGGCTGTACTCAAACTCCTGGGCTCAAGCATTCCTCCTGCCTCAGCCTCTCCAGTAGCTCGAACTACAAGTGAGTGCCCTACTCCCAGCTAATACTAGCAAGTAAAAAAGTTTACTAGTAAGTAAACATGGAATTCTTACACAAATAGATGAGAAACAGGTCGGGCTCGGTGGCTCACACCTATAATCCCAGCACTTTGGGAGGCCAAAGCAGGTGGATCACCTGAGGTCAGGAGTTCCAGACCAGCCTGGCCAACATGGTAAAACCCCCGTCTCTACTAAAACTACAAAAATTAGCCAGGCATGGTGGTGCACATCTGTAATCCCAGCTACTCAGGAGGCTGAGGCAGGAGAATCGCTTGAACCCGGGAGGCAGAGGTTGCAGCGAGCCGAGACCATGCCACCGTACTCCAGCCTGGGCGAGAGAGTAAGACTCCGTCCCCAAAACAAACAAACAAACAAAAAGCAAATAGATTAGAAACAACCTTCCCTGAACAAACTCAGTCAGACAGTCAGGTTCAAAGTAGACAATCTGTCCAGGTAAAACTCTGCTTTTAAAATCCCAGCATACCTATCCCCAGTCTAATGGCTTTCAAACTTTCTGATAACCCCAGTAAGAAATATACTTTACAATGAGCCTCAATACACACACCTGCATATACGCATGTAACTAAAAGTTCCACGAAACAATACTGACTTCCTACGAACAAGGCCCTCTGATACGCTCTATTTCATTTCTGCTGTTTTTAAGAGATGGGATCTCCCCGATGTCCAGGCTGTAGTGCAGTGGCTATTCACAGGCATGATCATTATACTCTACAGCCTTGAACTCCCGGACTCAAGGTCCTCCTACATCAGCCTCCCAAGTAGCTAGACTACCAGCATGCACCACAGCACGCAGCTGCACTTTTACTTGCTGGTCAGGACCCATCAATGGGTTGCAACCAGCAGTTTAACAGCATTGCTATAATCCACTTTATCTCGTACTAACACTTATTTTACAGATAGAATATCTAGAACTATCAGAATCTGTAATGTGCATTGGAAAACTGTGTCCAACAAATGCTAGAGTAGAGAAAGAAATGGCCATATCTGGCTGAATGTTCCGGGAAGGCTTAAAAGGTGGACTCAGCTGAGGCACGAGGAGAAGGTGGGGTATGTGGAGGGAGAAGGCATTTCATCCAATTAGAAAGGCTTGGACAATCACGCACATTAAATCAATCAGTTTGGTGAAGTAAAACTGGACCAGGTGTCAAACATTGTCAATAGGCTCCACATGGTAGAGTCCTGAAATACTAATCCTGTGGTCCACGTGGAATCAATTCTGAAGTTAAAGGTTAAGAGTGATCCTTTTGTAATTCACAAGCGTGATGACTGGATGTTCATGCGCCTGTGTCAGACGTGCCTCCCCTCAAACCTTTACTACACTGGCACGTTACCTATCTGAAGTGGAGGGGAAAAAAAAAAACCATATAGTAAAGAACTTTAATCCATAGGATTCCTTTCCTGTCTGTGATGTTGCTGAGTCGAACACCAGGACCACAGTGTTTTCAAAACCTGGAAGAGCCCAGGCGCGGTGACTCACGCCTATAATCCCAGCACTTTGGGAGACCAAGGCAGGTGGATCACCTGAGGTCAGGAGTTTGAGACCAGTCTGGCCAACACGGCAAAATCCCATCTCTACTAAAAATTTAAAAAATTAGTGGGCGTGGTGGCAGGTGCCCACAATCCCTGCTACTTGGGAGGCTGAGGCAGGAGAATTGCTTAAACCTGGGAGGTGGAGGTTGCAGTGAGACAAGATCACGCCACTGCACTCCAGCCTGGGCAACAGAGCAAGACTGTATCTCAAAAAAAACAAACAAACCTGGAACCATGTCTTGTGTTAACAATTTTATGAAGGCACGAACCTCTTCTGCTGGGCCACTACACACCTTCTCTGGCTAAATGCCCTCATCCATTATTATTTGTCCTCTCCCAGAAGAAGTCTACACTACAGATTCAGGAGATATTCTCTGACCCCCTCCTCATTCTCCAAGAGTTGTAAACTCGCATGGCCATTTACAAGGAGGAAATAGAAACCACCATGCCAAGCCCTAATTGTATTACCCGTCAAACTGCAAAGCAGATGGTCCTTAACATTCATTCAAAATGTGTTTGCTAGGGTGTGGTGGCTCACACCTGTGATCCCAGCACTTTGGGAAGCCGAGGCGCAAGGATATCGGATCTGGGAGTTCCAGACCAGCCTGCGCAACATAGTGAGACCCTGTTCTCTACAAAAAAATTTTTTTTAAAAATTAGCCGGGCGCGGTGACCTGTGCCTGTAGTCCCAGTTACTCGGGAGGCTGAGGTAGGAGAATCACTTGAGCCCCGGAGGTGGAGGTTGCAGTGAGCCGAGATGGCGCCACTTAACTCCAGCCTGGGTGACAGAGTGAGACCCTGTCTTGAAAATATATATGTATACATTAAATATACATACACTAAAATTAAAAATTAGCCGAGTATAGTGGCGCATGCCTGTAGTCCCAGCTACTCTGGAGGCTGAGGTGAGACGATCGCTTGAGCCCAGGAGGTCAAGGCTGCAGTGCGCCTTGATCACACCACTGCACTCAGCCTAGGCAGCAGAGTGAGGCTCTGTCTCGAAAAAATAAAATAACAAAATTGATTGAATACCTTCTACGTGCCAGGCACTATATTAGGGACTGGAGCCACGACCACAAGCTAGAGAAAACCCTTGCCCTCCAAGAGCTTAGACTAATGAGAGTAATACAAATTACAGACTACATGAATGCAAGAAATACACAGAGCGTTGTAGAAAGAGAAAACCAAGGTTACAGAAGGACTCTTTGAGGAAGGCAGCATTTGAGATCTACAAGACAGACCAGGATAAAAGTTGGGGAACAGTTTTTACAGGTCAGGAATCCTTACCCCAAATTTCCCAAGAAAAGGCCCTAAGGTAGAAAGAACTAGGTGCACAAGCAAAATGTGCCAAAAGCCTGAGCGACCGAAGCACTTTTGCAGAAGTCCCCACTCCTCATCTCCTATCACATCTTCTGCTCAATCAAGCTGGGCCTTGTCGACTTTGGAAAGGCGTTTGGATCTTGTTCCAAAAGCAGTGGGAGCCACTCAAGAGCTTTAAGCAGAAGCATATCTACACTGGACGTACGCTTTTACAGGACCACTCTGGCTGGCATGTAGTGAATACATGACTCTCCAATTACTCAGAACACAGTGAGCGGGGAAGACATCAGCAGGTCAATCAGAGAACTCGTGGCCCAGTTAGGGATGCGATGGTTGGAGCTACTGCGGTCTCTAAGGGGAGGCGCCAGGCACCAGTACTGCGACCCAGCCCCGCGAGCGGCAGGCACCCGGCTGGACTGCAGAGCCGGGGCCAGCCTGGAACCCCGCTCTCCTGCAGGCCAGGGTGCTCCGAGCTGCCCCACGCGGACTCTAGAAAGGTCCCCGGAGTCCAAGTACGCCCATGCCAGGCTCCTCTGCCGAAGCCCTGGTGCTAAGGACATGATGCTGGCTGCACCCTGAACCCCAAAGCGACCCCACCTTCCCCGCATACCCAGCGCCTCACCTGCCGCGGAAAACCCTTCGCTCGCCTCCTCTGCTACCACCATTTTGCCGCGTCCAGCACGCGGGGCGGGATCTATCTGCGCCGAGGAGCGTGCGGGGGGCGGGGGGCGGGGGGCGGGGGGCGGGGGGCGGGTCTCAAGGCAGAACTAGAAGGCTATCCCATCACACCCCGCGCGTTCCCACAGTGCTCAGCGGCAGCCACTATGGAGGCCGGCAGGACAGCTGTGCTGCGGGTGAAGCGGAAGCGCAGTGCGGAGCCGGCCGAGGCTCTTGTGCTCGCTTGTAAACGCCTCCGGAGCGACGAGGTCGAGTCGGCTGCACAGAAGACGTCGGAGGGTTTGGAGAGAGCAGCGGAGAATAATGTCTTCCACTTGGTGGCCACTGTGTGCTCCCAGGTATTGGGCGTGGTGCAGTGATGTGGAGGGCATCTTAGGGTGCAGCCCTTAGGAAACCCGATCCCTGACCCGCTCGCGAACTCCTGCTTACGCTGGCCTCCCTCCCCTGTTGCCCCCTAGGAGGAACCAGTCCAGCCTCTCCTGCGGGCAGTTCTGCGCCCGTCACGGGACAGCCAGCAGCGTGTCCGCTGCAATCTCCGCGCCTCGGCTCGGGAGATCCGGCAGGAGGGCCGCTACCGGGTGGTTTCCAGCCGCCGATCCTTGGGGACCACCTCGAGCGGCCAGGAGTCCGAGTACACGCCGGGGAACCCAGAAGCCGCCGGAGACTCGGGCTTTCAGTTGTTAGACCTTGTCCACGAGGAGGGAGAACCTGAAGCCGCCGCTGCAGGCTCCTGCAAAGTGAGTACGCCTCGGAAGGTGGTCGCTGGGCTTCTCAGGACGGTAATGTCAGAAGACTGGGCCCAGTAGCAGCACAGTTTCATCTTAAGGGATGCATGATCCATCCGGCGTGACGGCCTCATTTTACAGTTTTGGTTATTCATCCAACATGTGTTTACTACGTGCCTACTAAATGCCAGGTATTTTTTTTAGATTCTGTGGATACAGCAGTGTGAACCTAACATGCAGGTAAACAAACAGTAAACAAGTCAATTCAGTGTCAGATGATGATAAGGGATGTAAGGAGGCGGGGAGACAAAGCAGAAAGAGTTATGCCACTTCAGTGAGAGTGTCACTGAGAAAATGACATTTGAGTGAAGACTTGCAGAAGGTGAATGGCAGGGCATTCCACATATGGAGAGGACTTCTAGGCAGAGAACCTGAAAGTAAAGAGGCTCTGAAGCCGAGTTTCCCTGCTCCTTGCAAGGTGCCTGGAGCCCGGTGAGCTAGAGGAGAGCAGTAAGGAATTTGAGGGGAGGAGTGCCTGCTAGACACTCTAGGTACTTGTAAGGAAATGTCTTTACAAGTCCTTTCAGCCTGAGTGAGATGGGGTCACTGGAGCAAAGCAGAGAGAGAGCAGGTAGGAAAATTGATCAAAGAGAGCTTAAAGGAATAGTTCTGGGTAGCATACCAAGTTTGAGGTAGATTGAGGTCTAGAATGCAAGTCTTCTAACATTTAATCCAGTGCTTTTCTTTATATTACATTTGCCAAATTCATTTGCACTCACTTCCAGAAGAAGTCTATTACATGCAGCAAAACTACAGAAATGGAAAATTTTCCTCGAGGCTGGGCACAGTAGCTGACGCCAGTAGTCCTAGCACGTAGGGAGGCCCAGGCGGGAGCATCACCTGAGCCTAGAGAGGTCAAGGCTACAGTGAGCCATGATTGTGCGGCAGTGGCATTTCAGCCTAGGTCACAGAGTGAGGCCCTGTCTCAAAAAAAATAAAATAAAATTCTTCTTGTAATCCCAGCGCTTTGGGAGGCTGAGGCAGGAGGGTTGCTTGAGACCAGCCTGGGCAATAAAGCAAGACCTTGTCACTACAAAAAGAAAAAGGAAATTAGCTGGGCATGGTGGCATGCGCTTGTAGTGCTAGCTACTGGGGAGGCTGGGGTAGGAGGATCATTTAAACTCAGGAATTAGAGATTGCAGTGAGCTATGATCAAGTCACTGCCCTCTGGTTTGGGCAACAGAGCAAGATACTGTCTCTAAAAAAAAACAGAAAATTCTCAACATAAGGTGTGCCTTCTTTTTTGAGCTGGACTCTCACTCTGTGGCCCAGGCTGGAGTGCACTGGCATGATCCTGGCTCACTGCAACCTCCAACTCCCGGGTTCAAGCAGTGCTCCTGCCTCAGCCTCCCAAATAGCTGGGATTACAAGTGTGAGCCACCACATCCAGCTAACTTTTGTATTTTTAGTAGAGACGGGGTTTCGCTATGTTGGCCGGGCTGGTTTCAAACTCCTGGCCTCAAGTGATCCGCCCACCTCAACCTCCCAAAGTGCTGGGATTACAGGCATGAGCCACTGCGCCCAGCCAATGTGCCCTCTCTTGATAAACATTTTTATAGAACTCAATTATTTTTGAAACTTAAAAAAATTACAATTCAAAATGAATCCACAAGCAACAAGCAAATGGTACTACTGTAATTGTTTATTGTTGTTGTTTTTGTTTTGTTTTGTTTGAGATGGAGTCTCGCCCTTGTCGCCCAGGCTGTAGTGCAGTGTCGCGATCTTGGCTCACTGCAGCCTCCACCTCCTGGGGGTTCAAGTTGTTCTCATGCCTCAGCCTCCCGAGTAGCTGGGATTACAGGCGTGAGCCACTACATCCAGCTAATTTTGTGTTTTTAGTAGAGACAGGGTTTCACCATGTTGGCCAGGCTGGTCTTAAACTCCTGACCTCAGGTGATCCACCCACCTCGGCCTCCCAAAATGCTAGGATTACAGGCATGCGCCACCGTGCCCGGCTGGTGCTAGTGTAACTGGATAGCAATTTGTGTATGATGTCCATAGTGACATCTTTCACCAAAACATTCCAGA